ACCAGCATGGGACATTATCACCTTAATTTCAAATCTTAAATAACCGTGTGTATACATATATACCATCTTTTCAGCGATAATTTCATTTTGTGGAGTTATTATGGATTATTTACAAATTTTCTTTTTTGTAGACGAATCATTGCATGAAATTATAATTGAATCTATTAAAGAAATAAAAAGATGGAATTATCCTTGCATAGAATATTTCACAATCTATTCTTATAAAGAATGGTCCTTAGGTCATTTTGAAAATTGGGCCAACACGAATCATAACCAGTAGACATTTTTCAAAGCAATGCGAAAAATGATGGAGATGAGAAAACATTAGAAGAAATATGATTGGTTCTTTCAACACAATTGAAGAAACAAAAATTTAAAATTTCATTAGTTCAACAAATTTCTACTTTCATATTCTGCTGTTTCAATATTTTTTTAGTAATTCAAGAGTTTTACTATTTTTAAAATTTAATTGTAAATTTAATCTTTTATAACGTTAAATAAATAAATATGAAATTATTAGTATTGTTATTATTATCGTTGCGGTATTGGCAAAAATTGTAAATTTGTATTGATTTAGAAATTCATATGTGATATACGCCACCAACCTGGAGAATTGCTTTTAAATTTTTTGTGCGTTATGCGAATTTACATATCCTTGTCTTTCTTAACTGGGATATGGAAAATGTTAATGACATGCAAAAGTGAACCATATACCGTATATTACTAGAATAGTATAGCAAAAGAATTTTTACAGTAATTCATAATAAAATTATAAAAATTCCAATACAAAATTAACTCGACCTTGACTACATACTATTTTTACTAGAATAGCGAATTATTTAAAAGATTTTTTACAGCAACTCATAATAAAAATTAGTATAATTACTGGAGTGGCAAGTAAATTCTTTAACAAGTTCTTTTTAATTACTATAGTTCTAATACAAACTAACTCATCATGTATTATGATTACCAGAATGCCAAATAAATTTTGTAACAAAATTTCTTGATA